TTGTGTGAAATTGGTTCACGCAAGTTTGCGTTCTTTTTTTTTTTCCCTTTTTTGCCACGTTTTATTGTTCCTTTCCAAGTTCACACACACACGCTCCTCCTTTGTGATGGTGCATTTCAGTGTTATTTAATCTCCGTCTACCAATGGTTTATTGGTCCTGTATTGCCATTTTATATTCTTTTCCTCTATGCATGCTGCTGACATTTTTAATAAATAGCCATCCAACTTACCGCTGTGGAATTGAATACACCACAATGGATGAACTCCTCCTTTCCCCCTCTTTTTCTTTATTTTTTTTAATTAAACGATAAAAATTGCAACAATTGTTAAAAGATTGGATGGGTCTTTCAATCAAGTAGGCATTCTCTGCAGCTTCGCCTTTTTTGTCGTAAAACCGGTTCGTCCCTTTTTTTGCGGCAGTAAATGGGAAATTGCGTCCGGGGGTTGCACCCTGTGTAGACAGGACTCCGCAAAGGCGCAATCATGATGTAGATAGCGCACAGCAACACCTAGCTACTCATCATTATCTGTTTGATGCCACACCGCGCAATAGCGGGCATCCTTCTTACTTAAATTTAAATGATTTTAAAAGTTTTGCAAAGGGGAAGAACAAAGAGCATCATGGGAGGCAGAAACCCCCGCGCTAGCTATTTCGATGGTGACAAATTAAAAACAAAAAAAAAAAAAAAAGTTACATTTATATAATGCTTATAAATATTAGGTGCACAATGTGCGCACCTACGCCGGCATAGTGGCACAATGATACAGTAGAACAATGGCACAGCTGCCACTGCTGCAACGCTTCTTCACCACCTTCGGGACGCAAAAATGTGACATAAAAAAGGGGCACTGCAAAACGTCGGGGGAGCTCTGAGGGTGGTGTCCTCTTCTGCATCCCCACTCGCAGGATGGGAGCAGCTGCTGACATTCTTCTCTCATGAAGCGTTATCCTGAGCTGATTTTTTTTTTTCTTTTTTTAACCACTCATGAATGAGGGACATAAGCAGGTAATTCTCGGCTCAGCGTCTTATCTCTCTATCCGCACACTTGCCAAAGTTGAAACATGTGTCTAGAGGGAGAAATTATTTTCTTCTTCGTTTCGCCGTGCGCGCATAGCTCCGCCAAATGAGCTGCACACAGAAAGATTCCATTTTGCAAAAATTGCAAAAGGAGAACTGACCCGAGCATATTTCATTCATGAGTGTTTAAAAAACAAGAAGAAATCCACATGGAGGAACACCCCCTTCAGGGAGTTATTCCTTTCAGTAGGATGACAAAAAGGGAGAAACGTATACACACCACGTGGAGAGCATCCTTAAAAACGTCGGAGTGGTAAAATCTGAATGGTTTTTTTTTCTTCCAACAGACCCCCCCCCTCTCCGTCCTTTTTCTCCTTTGTTCACTTCTTAAAGCCCATTTGTTTCATCATGTTCGCCATAGACCCCCCCAAATCGTCCATCTTTGTAAACTCCTTCAAAATGTTTACCATGTTATTTGCGCCGCCCATCTGTCCCATCATGCTTGGATCAATAATGTTGTTCATTTTGCTGAGGAAGTGTTTCTGATTTCGCATTAATGAGTTCATATTATTTTCTCTCAATCCCAATTTCCCCATTTTGGAGACCATATTTTTTAAAAACTTAAACTGTTCCAACAACTCCCGTATATCTTGCAGGCGGGTACCAGACCCTTTGCAGATCCTGAGGCATCTACTATCGTTCAGCGGTTTTACACAATCCAATTCTTCAGTGGTCATAGAATCCATAATAACCATAAATTTTTTTATCTTCTCTATGCCTTCCTTCTCGGTACCTTTACTAATTAGATTGTTCCCAAAACCTGGGATCATCGACATTACTTTACTTAAGCTCCCCATTTTAAAAACATTTTGAAACTGATCGTACATATCTCTAAGTACAAATTTCCCTTTGGACAATCTGTTAATTAACTGTGGCTGTTTTTCAATATCGATTACTTCTTTTAAGGTCGATACCAGACCGTTTATATCTCCTAACCCTAGAAGTCTCGAAACGAAGGATTTGGCTTCAAACTTTTCAAAATCATTAATATGTTCACCTGTACCAATAAATGTAATCGGACATCCAGTTGATGCCACTGCTGATAAAGCCCCTCCTCCCTTCGCATGCCCGTCTATCTTCGTAATAATGATACTTCCTAAAGTAACGGAGTTTTTAAAAGCCATCGCTTGGTCATGACAACTTTGTCCAATATGACTGTCAATGACGAAGACAATTTCTTCTGGCTTGATTGAACTTTCCACCTGCTTCATCTCTTCAAATAATTCACTCTCTTGTTTATGTCTACCAGAACTGTCCACAATGATTAAATCATATTTTTCTTTTAGAAATGCATAGACTCCATCACTTGCGATTTTGACAGGATCTACTTCTGAATAACTCCCATAAAATGGGATCTTCACCTTGGCGGCATTCTGCTTCAGCTGATCAAAAGCCCCGGCTCTAAAAGTGTCTGCACATACTAAAGCCGTTTTGAATCCTTTCTTTTGATAATAATGTGCAAATTTTGTACAGGTCGTTGTTTTCCCACTTCCTTGCAAGCCGACAAACAGAATGACATTTCGACTTCCTTTCTTGGGCACATAAGACTCTTTCTTCCCTTCCAGAAGGTTGATAAGCTCCTCCACCACGTACTGTTGTACTAATCTCTTTTTATTGTTTCCATACAAATCGATATTTTTTTCGATATTTTTTTTTATATTACTTTTTATATCCTTCAGGTAGCTAATGTTTATATCTGCCAAGATCAACGCTCTGATGACTTCCTTTAGGCATTCTTCAATCGCGCTATCGTCCGCCACGGCCGATGTCTGCAGCTTCTGTAGCGCGGAGGTTAGCTGCGTCCCCAGCTCCGTCAACACCATTTTATCGCCTCTAAATGTTCAACGGCAGTAGTATCTAGCACCGTCTGATGATTATTCCCCCGTTTTGTCCTTCGTCTGCCTCTAGGCTTAGGCCGCAGAAAGGGGGAGAGGAGTCCACTTGAATTGGGCCCTGCTCAACTAGGCTTCCACTGCGCAATAAGGGGAAGCCGGACTTGGTCGTGGTGGCAGCGATACTGGAGATGGTACTGATAATGCTGATGCCAGTGAAGTAACCCCTACGTTTGCGGCACAATTGGCCTCCTAAATGTGCATTCAGCGCATCCCTCAGCCGAAGGGTGACTTATGAGGGGCCAATTTCCGGATAAATGGCTAACAAAACAAAGTGGTCTTAAAATGGGGGGAGTAGAGTATACTTCTGGTTACACGAAATCAGGAGGGACGATTTCCAACATGTGCCTGCTCCAGACTTGCTGTGCCGAAACAGAAGGTAAGGTCCCTCAATTGTGCACGCAGATGGAAGTATATTCTGCTCCTCACGTTTATGCGTTTGTATAATTCTTCATGCGTACACAAATAGGTTGCACTACATAAACAGGCTGAAAGAAAAAAAAAAAAAAAATTACACTTTTGCAAAAATAAGGCCAATCGATTTGTTCTTTGTGCCCATTTTCACATTTGGTACTAAAGTACCTTCACAATGGCTTATCATTTTTACATAAAATATTTCGATATAATTTTAATTCCCTTTTTTTTTTTTTCTTTTACGTGCAACTGCTTATCAGGATGTGTGCTTCCGCGGAGGGGAGGGTCGCGCCGTGCGATGTAGGCAAATGTTAACCGCAGTGTATACACCCAAGTGTATACTGAAGCGCTGACCCCAGGAGGTGATATTCCAAACGCGAGAGCCGGCGTGTGTTGCCTTAGTTATGATGCAGCCCCATCCAAAGCATTAATCGCTCACGTAATTACGTGCGCCAGGAAATAGCCCCCTAGAGGATGCACAAATGTCATGTTACGAGGAACAGCACTTCCGGTTTTGTTCCTTCGCCGCGGCCTCTGCCTTTTCCCGTTGGTATAATAAGGCAGACTTCAGGCGTCAATTCATCAAAGATATTTGTACGTTGCGATTTTTAAGTTATTATAGGGAAACCGAAGTGAAGGCCTCGCTTTACCAAAAAAAATATGTTCATTAATTTCTTCTCCCAGGCGTTTTTTTCGGAACGGTGAAAAACTGTCACTTGGAAAAAATCATTTATTGGGTAAAGAAGGAAAAGAGGAAGAACGTAAAATCGTAGAAAAAAAAAAATAATAACTACATGTATTTACGGCAAACAGCCACTCTTATAAGCAATAGCGAGTAAACAGCCCACCATAAGAAGCGACGCTTTAGGGATACACGGTGTAGGCCCAACAAGCTGGGCTGTTGTGAGACCTGTGGATTTGCAGAAAAAAAAAAAATACATGCAACTGCAAAATGACAAAGCACTCTTTTCCTTTTTTTTTTTTTTCATTCCTGCCATTGTCATAAGGTGTTCATAAAAAAAGCGGAGAAATTTTACAACATTGACCTGACCCCCAGCCGATATAGGAGTTCATTTGTACTCATTCACATAATTGAAAACGAACGCATCGCTTTTATCCTAATGTTCTTTTTGTGAGTCCGTTTAAAAAGAACAGGGGGTTATTCAAATGTATAGTGCATTTCCTACTCCGGATAATCTGGGGAGGAAGAAGAAGAAAAAAAAAAAAACCTTCCGTTCTCCATGTAGAAGAGGCTACCTTTTGCATGACGACAAGCAATAGAACAGTTTAGCCATTTTGAAACGGTGCGCCAGATTTTATTTGTAGCAACAGGGTGGACACACCCTATTTCCCCTGTGATGTTTCGCGTCATCGGAATCAACGTACATCTTAAATCCACCCATGTATATCCATATGGGCGCGCTAAATCGTCTCAGATAGGCATTGTGCTTTATCTGCAGCTTGTGCAACAGACTTTTTCTCGCCGTGTTTTACACAGACCCGTGGCAGACACATCGGCTACGATGTTTTGTATACTTCAAAAAGGAAAGAAGAAAAAAAATCTCTTTTTTTTAAGCGTATTGGCAATTTTGTACAACTACCCTCCTCCCACTTAATGATCATGATAAGTTCCCCCAGCTGTGACGTGACAGTAGGTATGGAAAGATGCCCACTGCGGCTTATTAGGCGGTGCATGCGGGGATACCCATATGACTAAATTGGAGCTCGTGATCTCTCCTTTTAGGGGGTGCCGCATGCACAGCGTTCTACCGAGTGACCACTGCCATTCCCAACTGATCGTTTGACATTTCCAGTGGCAGGGGGAATTTCTCCTTCCATGCTCACTTCGTCTAACTTTATTCCCCTTTTATGCCTTCCCTCTGTTCAGGACTGAACGGGCTGAGAAGCAAAAGCCTCGACGAAATCGCAGAAATCGTTAAGAGGGCCAAGGAAACCAAGGAAGCCCAGCTACGAGATTTAGACAACTTCAAAGAGAAACAAAACCTAAATGTGTTGAAAGCCTTTGCAGAGAACCAGGCACATTGTCTCAACATATGCAAGGAAAATTTATACAATCGACTTGAGCAGGACTTGTACCTGTACCAGAATGTGAGCGCGAAAAATAATTCCAATTTTAACGAGAGGAAAAAAAAAAAATTAGAGAAGTTTTATCAAGACATGGAGCAACGGTTGTGTTTCCGTGCATGTTCTATAAGGTGCCGCCACTTTCTGCAGGACAGGGACTGAAAGAGAACGGGGGGGAAGAGTCTCATCGCAAAGGCGACAAGGAATGAAAGAGAGGGAAGGATGGGAATAAACGGAAGAAGTGAGAAAAAGGGGACGAAGGGGAAGAACTGGACGAAAGCGCAGAAGTGCAAACAGGGGAAATAAAGAAGAGTCTACCTCTTCAGTCGCCGTGTCAATATTTCCCTCATAACAGTCCTTTCTTCCCTAGCCAGCACACCGAGTTTGCCACTCCCCAAGAACACCCCTTTTGAATATCCCCCTTTTTTCATACTCCGAATCGCCCAACATGGAAGACGCAGACAGGAGGAGCCAAATTTTACTAGCGTACGGGTCCCAGTACGGCACTGCGTACGATTGCTGCAGAATCATTTTGTACGAATTGTATCGAAGCTTCCACATGGACTTCTTATGCCTGAATGACGTCAATTTGATGAGCTTTCACAGGTACGAAAATGTCATTATCATTGTTAGTACAACAGGGTATGGCTTCTACACACATAACATGTCCAAGTTCTGGATAGCTATGCATAGGGCTAAGGTAAGGTTTCACGAAGGTACATATTTTCATTTGTTCGGATTGGGTGACAGTTCATATGATAACTACAACATAGTGGCCAAGAAATTAAAGAAAAAATTAAAATCGCTTAATGCAAATGTTATAAATTACAATTTAGGGAATTATCAACACCCATCTATGCATTTTTCAAACTTTACCATTTGGAAAAATAATGTCTACCGATTTCTGATGAGGAGATATGCCCCCTTTGAGTTAAATGAGGACGTCCCTCTGTTGTACTCCATCAGGAAGGTACCTCCCTTAGCAAGTGTGGTGGACACCCACGACGAGGGGGAAAAAAAGGGAAAATATAACCACAGCAATGCGGGGGGCCATTATAACCACACTACTGAGACAGAATACATAAGGGAGATTCACCCCAAGGGGGAACAACAAATCGGAAGGGACTCACCCAAAAGGGAGGAAAAACACATGGAACACACCAATAATCTGCATAGTGGCGCTCCCGGAATTGGCGACTTCCATCCGGATGAACACTTTTGTACACTGTTAAAACTTTCCAAATTTGAAATTTTAAAAAATGAAAGGTGCACAGATAGGTCCCACTTCCAAGATGTAAGGTGCATCGACCTGGTGGCACCACCCTCTCTGTCCTTCAATGTGAGCAGCTTGTTAAATGTGCACCCATTTTTAAACGAGGACAAAACGAAAGAGGTATTGAAGATGTTAAAAATTGACTATGATGAATATGTTGTTGTTCAGCAGAACTACTCGGAGGATAAAAGAAGTATCACAGATAGCCTTCCGATTAACAAAAGGATAAAGGTACTCCACCTATTTATGTACTTCCTAGATTTAAGCAAAATGGTTGCCCCCTTTTTTTTCACCTATCTAAGTAAAAGAACGACGAGCGAAATGCACAGGAAGAAATTCCTACAGTTGGCAAATACAGACCAAATTGCCGATTATTTTTCCTACATATATCAAGACAAGAGATCCTACTACGACATCTTATGCGATTTTTACACTTACATACAAGTCGATGTGACCTTTCTCGTGAACACTCTTCCGAACATTCAGCACAGATCCTATTCGATAATGAACCCAATGGAATACTACAACTATGTAAAAATGAAATTTAACCCATATCATCTGTACCTGCATCGTGTTAACCCCGTTTTTTTGTCCCTACTATCCTTTTTAAAGATCCATTTTTACACAAAGGGGAATGGAGGAGCCGGAAATATTTTCGCTCAGTACACGGCGGAAATGTGGACGAGTCGTACCTTGAAATTTGTAAACTTCATGAGGAACAAATTAAGAAACCGCAGGACGAACATAATCGAGTTATTGGTTAGTCTTTACCATGTTGAAATAAACAAAAATAAAAAGTTGGTGGGTCTCTGTTCAGATTATTTAGTTAACTCCAAAGAAGGATCTTTTATTTACGCTCAAATTCAGGATAGTCTCCTATGGTTTAATAAAAATGTCCTCAACTTAGCCTACCGAATTGTTTATATTTCTACCGGCTCGTCGTTTAGTAGCTTCGTGGGCGTTATCAGATACCGCCACGATCTGCACATGAAGCGGAAGTCTACAGATAGGGGAGGAAAGGAAAAGGAGCAGAATCGACTCGCCGCTCCCGTTCTAAAAGATTTTCTCTTCCTTGGACTTCGCAACAGGCTGCATGACTTTTACTTCGAAGACCTTCTTCGAGCGGTTACTTATTTCAACTACATTTTTATGGCCTTCTCGAGGGACCCAAACGACAATTTTGCTTTTCTTAACGAGGAGGTGGAACTGAATTGCGCACCTAGTCCTATTAGCGGCGGGATCAGCGGCCGGGTTAGTGGTGGTATGAACGGTAGCACTGGTCATCACTGTGACGATGGCTATCGAGGCCGCTGTCACCCCCAAATCCACTACGGACATGTAAAACAGCTGCTAAGCGAGAAGAAAAAAAAAATATACGTGACTGACATCGTGCTGGCCATGCAAGACTGCATCTACGACCTCCTGACGCAGCCGGACACGATATTCCTCGTATCGGGAAAATCACGCCCCTTCGCGCAGAACCTCATCAAAGCCTTCGGGAACATCATCAAGCGGAAGGAGCCGCATAGAACCGAGGAGCACATTCATTCCTTTTTAAGACAAAAAGTGGACGATTTTTCGATAATAGTGGAATCATGGTACTGATTCCTTCAAGAAGAAGGGAGGCACTGCGGATTGGGCGCCGAAGCGTGCCTCAACCGGGTCCGACGCGCAAAGAACGGTTTGTTAACTCGTTACAAAAATAGGACTGCGCGCAAACAACGGCTTTTTAACGCCTTACATAAATAGGGCTGCGGCCGTTTGTACACAACAAGAAAAAAAAAAAAATGAAATGAAAAAACAGAAACGTGGAGCGGGGCAGGAGGTGCCATCCTGGATGGCGTTAAAAAAACAATGAGGGGGAACTCTCTACCACGCGCTTCTTTTGATAAATTCTTAAAGCGTCGCGTGGACTAGTATGGGGAATTAACAAATAAAGTGCCGATCGCGTCGCGGCAAATGGCAAGACGCATACATAACACACATACGAAACATCAGAGTCAATGCAATTGCAACAACATATAAGGAGCATGAAACAAATGCGTACACATTTTGCACCCGTCTTTATATCACCATGCCCCTTTTATTACCCCCGTCAATTTCTCTCATATGTATATGCATATCTACATCTATATATATCCCTATCTCTGGTTCTCTTTTTTTTTTTTTTGTTAAAAAAGGGTACACAACACTTGGCACTAATAAATCACGCATGCATATTTGAAATAAATGTTGTCGTAAAAAATCTAATCGCACCCTTCACAGCATGTATATAAAAAGGTGCACAAATTTAATCTCGTGGATTTTTTTTCTTTTTTTTTTTTTTGTTGAGAGACAAACTAACCATACGTGGGCAAAGATTTGCAGAATTTTTCAAACTTTTGTACTGTCCACGCTCGCACCTCTTGGGGCTGCTTCCGCTCACTCGCCTTAAAAATAATAATTTAAAAAAAAAAAAAAAGGTGACAACCAGGCTCAAAGGCGAAAAGTCTGGGTTCTCCCTTTTCCCCTAAAAGCTTCTGCACTTCGCCGGAGGGCGCAACTTTGCCAGTGTGACACGATTAACGATTCGGCTAAACAAGCGTGTGGTGGCTAGAAGGGTGGAACTATGTAAACAAAGAAGCCGGATTCATTCCCTGCTCACAAGGGACTTTCGCACAGTTCGCACCTCGTCCGTTCGGACGTATTTTCATACGTACACATGTTGCACCTCTTGAACTTATTTTTCTTCTTAATGGTGTAGGTGACGTTACTTTCAGGGACGTTTAAGTACGACATGTTGTTTAGAGAGTGCGTTGGGTGGTAGAACTGATTGTCGATGTTCTTGTTTGGGTTTTTTTTCTTCTCTTTCTCCGACTTTGTTTTACTACTCATATTATTGACATTGGAAATATTACTACTGCTTTGGTTGCTTTTTTCATTTTTGTTATCCACGGGGGATAATGGAAGTAGGGACGGAAATTCATGAGGACTAAACGTTTTTAGAATATCACGACTCTTTTTACTTTTAGCTGCACTTGTCTTCTCCTTCGACGTTGACTTAGACTTCTTGTCCTTCTCCGCCCCTTCCCCACTGTCCCTGCTTTTGCTTTTCCTGTTCTTGGATGAATTATGGTCTACATTGATTCCGGCTAGTAGCGGATAATTCGCAAAATTAAAATCTGGAGTGCTGCCACTATTGTTGATTTTATTTTCAACCGTGGAGTTCTGTTCAAATTCTTTTTTTTTTTTCAAACTGTTGGTTAGCACCTGACTGTTTGCAGCTTTCCCTGTCTCCACGGCACGGTTTGAGGTTGTGCTACGGTTCGTCGTTGTGGCGTTGTTCATGCTAGGGGCATTTTCCTTTGTTGTCTTCTTCTTCTTAGAAGTACTACTCTTTGGTGGTGCCTGAATAATCTCTTCCTCCTTCTGCTCTGGAAGCGGAGGGAACTCCAAGTCGATGTTCATTCTGGTCGAGTTTGAAAATAGCTCTCTGTTTTTATCAACCTTATTTTTGTACGACGTGGACGGTAGAGAAGTCTTATTTCCTGCAGCTATTGTGCTTTTCCCGATGCTACTTGCAGTGTTAACTGTACCATTCCTCGCCATGTTACTTGCCCTGGTTAGGCTGCTATTGCTGGAAGTTTTGCCTATACCGCCACCCTCACTTCGTTCCATCACCCATTCGGATCTGTCCTTTAGCGTGGGGAACTCCTCCACCGCTTTGGGTAAGCTACATGGGGTGGTGGAAGAGATTATGCTGCTCACGTAGAAATAAATAAAGTACAGTTCATTGACCTTGGTACTTTTTATTATATTTAGGAATCGGTTTCTAAGCGAAAGGGAGACATCGTACAGGTTTGCATTCATTCTAGTATCCTTGATGGTTTCCACGTGGTGTTTTATTCCGTCCTGCAATAGCTTGTCGCGTTTCGAGTGACCATCACCACGCTGGTCGCGATGGTACTGATGATCCCCCTTGTCAGCGTGCTCACTGCGTATTTTGCGTAGAATCACCTCTATGTCTTTCCTAATTCGATAGTATTCCGGGCCTGTAGACAAGCACTCCTCCAGAGCCTTGGCGTTGACAAAGGAACTGAGATTTTTGGAGATATTTGTGAGAGAAGCCAAGTCGACCTCGTTGGAGATCCTCTTAACAATTTTCTTCTTGTTTTCACTAGAGATGTTAATAAATTTATTTATACAGGGATCCTTCATATACGCTGAAAAGTAGTTACTCAGAAAAAGGTAAAAGAAGGAAACCAAGTTTAAGTTGGGTTCTACATAGTACAGCAAATCTAAGACCACTTTTTTCGACACATCCCATTTTTTATCATACAAATTATTTATTATGCTGCTGTTTGGGTTCTTCTTCTTCATGGTCTTTTTAATTAATTGGTTAATATCTTCCATGTCGTCCAATTCGTTGCTACTGCGGATGTTAATTGCATCGAGCAAGGTATTCCCATTTCGCACTTCCCTCTTTCTTCTTTCGCTTTGCTGTGCAGATAACGCTATTAGAATGCTACTACTTCTGTTGTTACTACTGCTATGGACAGCACTTGGGTTGCTTTTTAACGTACTTGACTTGGAAGCTCCCCCATTGTACGCGTCCCGCTCGGAGATACTGTCCCCTTGCTTTTTCCCTTTCTTTGTTGCTTTCTCTACCCGATCGTACGTCTCATTGCAGAGGTGTGAAATGTTCCGCACTAGGAAACACACCTTATCAAATCCATGCTTATCAATTTTAAAAAATAAAGAGATCAAATATAAGAAGCCGTATTTGGTTAGTTCGATGGGACCACAACTGGCTTCCGCCTCTATGCGCTTCTTCATTTGCGTCATTTCGTGCGAGCACAGGTAAATATGCTTCATTTTATCGCTATCCACGCTGTTAGGGGGGCAGCCATTGATTCCGTTATTTGTGCCACCCCTAGCACCGCGCCCTGCGCTAGAAGTAGAAGTGGCCGTCGCCGTCGCCGCGAGTCTGACTAATTCAATCACCTTCTCAGGGCGCACATGCCTTGACTTCATGAAGAGATAAAAAAAGGAATAGTACAAAATGAAGGACCTATTAATTATGATGTTAAAAAAGAGGTACAAATAATTTTTTTCCAAGTCTTCCTTATTATAAGATAAGTAATCTATTTTCTCCACTATATAATCAAAGAATAATTTGAAATGAAAGAAGTTGTTTCGATCCTGTGGGGAGAAGTCCTCTTCAATTATCTTCTTATTCAGCTGTACTATCTCCTCCTGTGTAAAATACAATTCTGATCTTTTACTCGACAGAGTTTCGAATATCCTCAAAATGATCTCCATGTCTCTTTTGGCCATGTATAGGAAAAAGATTTTTTCGTTGCTTCCAAAATATTTTAAAAAATCTTTCACTTTACACTCGATGAAATAGTCAAAGTACCATGAGTCTTGGAAACTTTTAAAATTGTATATGCACTTGTGTCTGTTCAGGTCAAACGGTTCTTTGCTCTCTCCAGAGGGGTCGTCCTCGTCGAGGTGATGGTTGTGCATGCTGTTGGCCCCTGTGTGGTTACTGCTCGACCCCGTGTGGTAACTGCTGGCCCCAGTGTTGTAGTTGCTGGCCCCCGTGTTGTAACTGCTCGCCCCGTTGTGTGCACTACTTCTTATCTCATTGTACGAAGCCCCCGCGATGGAAAAAGTTATCTTATTCTTCTTGTTGTTCCCTTTCTCCTCATGCTTCTCTGCAAGGTGGAAGCACAAGTCGATCTTATTGTCAAAGACGACGAAGATGCACTGCTCGTACAAGCAGGGGTGATGCTTCTTCTTGTAGTGCTCAAACAGATTTTCGTAGTTTCTGTAGACCTACAAAAGGTGGTAAGCGTGCAAGAGATGATGCGTGGACAAATGATTAAAAGGGCACAAAAGGGGGTGCGCGTTCACAAATGGGGATCCGCGTGCAAAAAATGTAACGCGCGTGCAAAAAATGTAACGCGCAAAGCGCGAATGGCTCCCCTGTAGCGCCCTTACGTGCATGTGCAGCTGGTCATAGTAGACGACGTCCTCCTCGGAGTCGGCCTTGGGCGCTTCCTTGCTGTCGCTGGGCCTCTTATTAAAGCAGAATTTGCAAAAAAAGTGGTATTTATTAATGTGATTCATGAACGTATCAAAATCGTAGAGATAAAATCCGCAGAGGTGGCAACAAATGTGCCTTATTTTAAATTTATTCTCCGCAATCTTCTCTCCATTTTCAACGTGCATTTTTATAAACCTTTTAAAAAATATATTATACTCGAAGAGGAAAATATTGTCACTGTTTCCAACACAGATATCACAATAAGTCTTGCCATGCTCATTCATGTGTCTGCACAAATCGTTTAATCTTCTGTGGCAGTAATTTTTCAAAGAATTGATATGATTTATGTTGTCGAGATTGGTAAAGCACGTTTTGGTAAATAGATCCACAGCACGGAAATAGTCATCGGATAGCTCCGACTCTGCATCCTTTATGCGAAATAATTTCTTCCCATACTGTTGATATTTGTCATATATTGAGTCGTTTTTTTTTCGCAAAATGTCCCTTTCGTTATTTATGTAAATTCGTTCAAAGTACTTATCTGTGCCATGATTCTGTTTAAATTTTTCCACCTTTTTACTTAAGATTTGGGTCCAATAATCGATACAAGGAGAGAGCAGACAGACGTAACTTGTCAACAGGGTTGACAAACTGTAAATGTAAAAATATTCGAAGAACACCTTCTTTTCTGTGTCTACAAATATTTTTGCATAGAATGCATACCTCTTTTCCGTGTTCACTCCTGCGTTCAAGAGGTATCTTATTTTTTCTCTTTTCCTTTTAATATACTTTTCGTAATAAAAAAACAAATACAAGTTTTCACCTTTTTTGGCTGCACTGTTATTTCCTTCATTGGTATTATTGTCGACGTTTTTTTTTAAAATATTTCGTAAAATTATGATGTCGTCATAGTGGGATGAGAACACCTTCTTGATATCATTCTTCGTCATACAGTTTATTTGTTCTTTATTGGGAAGGTATCCATCCATCCCTTTTTCTGTAACGGAAGATGAGTTTCTTCCCTTTTGGCTTTCCACCTTTGGGGGAGCTTGGGCTAGGTTCACTGCGGGGATCTCCCCCATAGATTCTTCTTCTTCCACCCCTTCGTGTGCACATCGAGCGCCCGTGTTGAGTGAAATAATACTACGTGTGGAATCAGTCAAGGGGGACGCGCCTCCCTGTGCCTTCTTCCCTGTGGAGTCCTCCCTTTTGTGGTAGCCATTCCCATTCAGATCAGCAAACTGAGATAACTCGTAACTGACGTATTGCTCCGGATCGTCCTGTTCAAGAAGAGTGTGCAATAGATTCTCATACGTAAAATACGTATAGAAATTATTTAAACAAAAAAATATGTACCCATTTCTTTCTTTACAAAACGGGCATTTCATTGTATCCTTATCGAATTCATAGTTATATTTTTCGTCCTTTCCATCCCTTCGTTTGTCACTCGTCGGTCTGCTGATGTAAACAAATGACCCTCGTGCTGCTGCTGCTGCTCCTGCGCCTCCTCCTGGGCCTGCCCTCCCCCCTCGGTACTCATCGGGGTACCCATAGTTATTTCTATTTCCCACACGACTACGACTATTTACATAATTCGCGTACGCACTATTGGTGCTGGTGGTGTTGTCACGAGGGACGTTTGTCCCTCTTGTATCCTCCTCATCCTCATCCTTCTCCTTCTTTTGCATATACAAGAGACGATAAAAACATAGAAAGCAATATGTATGATTGCATTCTTGTATGCACACAAATTTTATTAGCTCGAAACATAGACTACATTCGATGAATTTGAAATCTAGTTCCACTTTTTTCAAATCAGAGTTGCTTATTTTGTATTCGTCTTCCTTCATTTCTGACAAGGAATAATTTTCGTTTTTTTCCTTCTCCCTGATTATTTTTTCCACCTCTTTTTTTACAATTTTGTTCCCATTCTTTTTTATATTGTCAATTAAGCTGTTATATATGATTAAGTTGTGTTCTATCCTTAGTATGTCCGCGTCACAATAACTAAATAATTTCCTGATGTGATAAGAGATGTTAACGTACATGGATTTGTCTCCCTGAGCGTTTTTTTCATCATAGCATTTCGCAGATTCGTGTTTGCTCTTACCGTTCACGGCGGCGTTGCAACCTCTATACATTTTTTTCGCCAATTGAATGTGCAATCGGGGGTGTCGACGGGATGGCCTCGGGATGGTCTTGGGATGGCGAAGAATATACCGATGAATGTGCCGATGAATTTCCTGATGAATATCTTCAAATATCCGCACAACGCCGTCTCACCACGCGCGCATCTTACTGCTGGGGAATCCCTTTGGGGGCAGAAAAAAAAGACGATTCACAAGTTCGTAGCTATTTTGCTACTTTAAAGCGTGATCCTTCCTTCCCGCACTGGTATATAAGCTGCTCTCCACGGGGATTACTTTCGCCAAGGGAAAGTAAACTCCCCCGCAGGTGTCCTCGTACAAGCGCACTTAAACATATGCATACGAACTTTTACGCATATGTGACACACACGGTTTCGTGTTCTGCGGGTGTGCTTCTACGTTCAGCGTGATCGCATTGCCTTGAGCTGGCAATTTTACGAAGGTAGTTTTTGGTTTCTTTTTTTCTCCTTTGAATTCTCCAACTATTTGGTCACCCGAACAGGCCTTTATTCTTCTAATTCACCATTGCCCGAGGGGGATAGAACGTTCGGAGTTTAATCCCGTTCGCGTGGAGATATACGTATTGGATGTGCCTAGGTATGTAGCTACTTGTGTGACACATTAATGCGTGGGTTTATTAGTCAGTTAATGCGTATGTTTCGTAAATCCCCCCAACCCCCGGCACTATGGGTACTTGTCGTGAATCCTCGATATTCTGGCTCCTTATGCCATTTCGACAGTAAGCACAATGCATATGCAGCGCGAGGGCAGTTTATGCATACGTACATATACATACGTAGTACATATATATATGTATATATCTTCAAATATATATACATATAATTACGCGGATGGTCATCATATATACCTCCTCTTTTTTTTTTATTCCGTTCCCGCAAACAATTCGGTACGTAATATGTTCATTTTCCTCTGTCACCAATCAGGAAAAAAAAAATAAAAGAAATAAAAATGAAAAAAATAAAAAGAAAAAAAAAAGAACACGCTTGCCCCAAACCCTAACCCCAAAGAGTACCTCATCGAATGAAACCAAACGTATGATTACTTAGGCCAATATAAATACTTACAATACCCTCTATTTTTGTCCGTCCTCGTAGCCGTGAAATCCTTTTAAGAATCAAAAATATCGCGTTCCGCAACGAGGAGGTACCTACGTATATACATATATTAGATGCGTATACGCATATGCCTTACCCCACGTAAACGCATGTATAGACATTAGGCATATTTCTTGCCCGACCCAGCTCTTCCCGCCCTTATGTGTACCATTTTGCTTCCTGCGCATGTTCCAAGCAGATTCTTCCTTCCTTTCTTTCCTTCCTTTTCTTCCTTTTCATTTTGGTATTCACGTCAACGTTCTCTGTGGTCCCCCCAGCTGAAATGAAAAAATTTGTAAACTATGAAGAAACAATTTCTACATGTTAATTCTGCGAATGGGCATATTTTCCTGCGTACACCTCAGGGCAAATGTTCCTTTCAGCGAATTCTCTATTGATGCAAAGATCGCCTGCGTGTATTTTGCGTGTATTTCTATTTTTGCCTATTTCGACAGCGACATTCCAAGTGAGAAGAAGGGCTTACACACAGGGCCCTACGGAAATAATTTTCTTTTCACAATTTGGGGTAAAAGCCAATTGCAGAGGATGCCAATTAGTGCGCATAAAGCGAGTGGGGAAAGAACGTTCATATCACCATGCGCACGTTCGCTTCATGGGAATATAGATTAAAAACGTAAAAAAAGGTTAGGACGTGGTTGGTTTGGATGCAACGCATAGCGTGACAACTTTGGTGAAACCCAAAATTAAGGGAAAAAATATATAACAGCACAAACACTTTTTTATAGGGGCGGGGGATATGAACGGTTGGCTCTTCAGAGAAATGGCGTGGGGGACGAACACAGTTGGAAAAAAGTCCACAACATGGTGTTCGCATTTCCCACTTGAGAAAAAGGTTAAGCAAAAAGGTGAAACAGAAAAGTGAAGCAGATAAATGAGGAAAGAAAGTGAATCGAAAAAATCAAGCAAAAAAATGAACCAAAAAAAGGTGAAAAAGAAATAAGACGAAAAGGTTAAGGCCAAGAAGGTTAATTTCAAACGGGTAACAACCGCCCTCTTGAAAGGAGGAGCAATCCTCTCGGGTCACTTCGTAAAAAATTTGTTGTACGCGTCGATCCAAATTTTATACTGCGCAGTGTTGTAAAAGGGGAAAGGAGGTAACATAGAAGACGCAAATATGTGCATAATTCATTTTGCTTTATCTGTACGCATACGTTACAAATGCATATATATCGGCACAAGGAAAGCTCTATGGACGCATACGCAGAGGATAATTTTTTTTTTTTTTTTTCCCTGTACCTCTGTGGATTGTCGATTATCTTCGGAATTGCCTGAAAAATTCCTTTCATGCGTCCCGCTAAAAGAAAGAAAAAAAGAAAAATTAAGAAAAAATACTCACCTGATTCCCCATTTGTTAATGAGACGAAATAGGACAACACAGTAACAAAAATGTTTTAAGCGCTTTCCATTTTCCGCCCTACATCCAAATGTTTTGCAAAATTTCGCTCTTCTTATTTTCAATATTCCTATAAAACAGGGGTGTCTGTGATGGGGGAAATTTTTCATATAGGGGTGTACGCAATGAAATGCCGAAGAAGAATTTTAAGGTAAAATTTGGCTTCATAAGCACGAACGGGAGTTCTCATCTCTTTGCATTTGTGGGTGGTTCTCCACTCCCCTCCGTCGATTCGCCTCGCCGGTTCAACGCTGACAGAGCGCCGCGCCTACCTCGATGAGCTTCAAAAAAAGCACCGAAAACACCGGGTTGTAAAAAGACAGAGAGTAAAACAGCTTTATAAAATAATCAATGGCATTGTTATGAAACAGCTTATTAATTAAGTTCATTTTGTTTATATCAATTAGTGTGCGGGCGTAGAGGTAAAACTTCCACAGGTTCTTCACATTCCTATTCTTGAAATCCTCAAAGTAATAATGCAACTCTTTTATGATAACATTTTGCAAAAACGGGAGACTCTTCATCGTGCTAATGTGCAACATTCTGTTCAGTACCATGTGGTACAGATACTCATATAGATACATATATTTTATGTAAATATTTATCAGTTTCTTTTTTCTTAAGAAATGGAAAGTTCGGGAACATATTTTCAAAATGTAAGGCAGGCACCTGCTAATGGTGCCGACGCGAGTGTAATTGTCTAACTTACTCACTATCTCTTTCGAAATTTCGCAAAAGAGGTTAATTGATCGGGGCGTACTTCTCTTCTGTTCGCTCCGCCAGGCAAATGGATCTCGAATTGGGCTCAACTCGATGTTGGCGTCGCTCTCTTTTGCTCCGATTTCCAGATTTGTCGCATTATCTACATCGACTTGGCTAAGAGGGTTAACTAAGCCACCGCCACCGTCAACACCATCGCCCATCTCCCTCAGGTAAGGACATATAAACGTTATGTTATTAGTTATTAAGAAGTGGTTTCCACTTATTGCGCTGTTCATATCATTTATTTGGCTTACTAGCCTTTTCCTCAGGCTTTCAAACGTGTTTTTTTCCCTCCCTCGGACAGGAAAGTTCTTAATACTGCTCGTGTCCGAGACGCTTGTTTGATCTTCACTCCATTCATTCACACATCTGTCTTTCTCACCTATGGTTGCCCATTCATTGCTAATATGAGGGGGTAACCCGCTACTGATCACTTCGTTTTTTGCGTCTCTTTTTCTTAAGCCCCAGTTGACGTGGCTGCTAACACCGTTTGAAGAAGTGCACATATTACTGCCTACCCTATCTACCTTACCAGTATCGTCACTGCACATGTTGGCGTTGCTTAAGAGTTCACTCGATGTATGTGATTCTTTATGTTCCTCCACCCTTCTCATCTCGTGTGCAACTTCTGCATTGGAGTTACCACCATCCCTCGAGGGAGCATTACTGATGGATAAGCTTCCTAGATTTTTCTTTTCCATATAAAAAAATTCGTGAATGATGGAAAAGAAATTTTTTATTTTCATATAATTTACTTGAGGGATATTCAACAAAGCTGATAAGAGCAATATGCTGTTCTTTTCCTTCACAGATTTTAAGCTCTCAAATTTTGTATCTTCTTCGATAAAATCAAAAAAGGACAGGAAGCTGCCTTGTTCATTATTCGCAATGACTATATATTTTAAAATGCTCATTAGGGGTATCTTCAAATAGCTATCTTTACAATCGTTCACCAAGAGTTTATACTTTTTTTTGCTTTTCATTTCGTTGATGGTATTTCCGACACTGCTGGTGTGCTCTTTCTTCGGTTCCTGTGTGCTCCGCACGCTGCAGAAATACAATTTGAAATTGTCCTTCTCGTTTCCTTTTCTCTGGTGCGCGAGGCGCGTGCTGTCACTGCAAATCTTGAACTGGCGCATGCGCACCTTTCCCTTGCACCTTCCGTGGTGATAGCTCGTGTAGCGGCGGATGTAAGTGTCCTCCTCGTTGTCTCCGACGGAATTTTCGTCATCTGCACCATATTCCTCTCTTTCGCCGTCTTCACTATATTCGTCGCTTTCGTTATCTTGACCATGTCTGTCGCTTTCGTCGTCTTCACCATATGGGTTTGTTTCCTCGTCTTCATCATGTCCGTGGCATTCGTCGTTTTCAACATCTCCCCCATCTGCTCCATACTCTTCGACCATTCCCCCTTGGCCATCTTCGTACTCTCTATACCTGGCGTACGCCCAATCTTGCTCCCTTCCATTCCTCTCTTCGCTCGATTCCCCATCGCGCACTTCACTTTCGTCGTACCGTTCCAGATGGCCCTGGTATTCACACACCTCGTAACGCTCGTTTCCGTTTGTGGTGGAGTGGTTCCCATATTTAACGCTTATATTGTACCTCTCACGGGGAATTTCGTACTCCTGTGGGTGATCCGGGCTTGGCTCTTCTGTCGGTGAACTGTGCTCGGTGTGGTCAACTTCTTCGCTGACTACTGTCCCGTCTATCTCGTCACTGGGTGCTGTCGCGTCGATCTCCTCACTGGACGCCGTCCCTTCCATCTCTTCACTTGGTGCTGTCCCCTCGAGTTCTTCAGTCCGTTCGATCCTTCCTACCCCTTCATTCACACTGCTACTTCCAGTCTCTTCACCCTCCTCACTGCTGCCGACATTATCGGTCCCCTCACTACTTCCATGCTCGTCGACCTCTTCGTAACATTCGCGTCTTCTGTTTGCATCACATTCTCTGTAGTCCTCCCCGGTTAGATCCGTCTCTTTTCCTTCTTCGTGTAATTCCCCCTCCGATGATTCAGCCGATACTTCCTCTGATCCCACCGACTCTCCCACCGATGGGCCCTGCTTTATGTCAACCCATGAACCACAAGAGTCACCTTCGACAGCCCCTGTGTGGAAGGCCTCCCCAGTGAAGTCCCCATAGGACTGAATACCTTCCCCCAGAAACCTCTGTCTCAAGTGAAAATACTGGTTAGACCTCCTTTTTCTGTCATTGTACTCCATCTTATCCAGCGCATACTTATTCAGATAAAAAAAATTGTTGTAAACTCCAAAGTAAAAAAGGCAGGTCCAAAAAAGCATACAATTTTTATAAGGCACCACGTCCAAGTTATTTCGGTAGAAGTAAAAACATATACCTTTAATGATGCAGAACTTTAATAGGATGTTGCTAAATAGGAGAGAGTACTCACATAACTCATCCACGTTTTTTATGTTGAGACTATTTTTAATCCTTTTAACTACTTCTTGTGTCTTAACTTGATCCGAAAAATTTAATATACCATCCCTAATGACATGGTTAATAAATTCGATCACAGGAAAATACCGATCTATTTTCACCATCTCTTCATCTTTGATGTTATATTTTTCTCTATACTGGAGACATATAAGCAATCTTAAATAGCTATAAAACATTCCATCGAAAGGTAGGAGCGTTTTTTTTGGACCCTTTTCACTACAATTCGCTTTGTACTTGATTTTATGTGCCCCTTTTTTTTTTTTTTTCTGCCCTTTGTTTTTGCAGTCCATCGCATCTCCGTCTTCTCTATCGTTGCTGCTCCTACTACTATGGCTACTGCGACTTCTGTTTGTGATGAAATGGGTCTTCCCTCCAGTGGTGTGCTCATTGATGCCACTCATGGGCATAATACCATCCTCGTCCTCCCCCTTGAACTTCCCCATTGTGGAAGTATATCCCGCCTCGCTGTACATTTTTCGACTACTCATGGGAGACCCATTTGAAAAAAAGTTATCTTTTTTAAAACTGTGTATGTTTATTCTTATCCTTTTCGCGTTTTTCCCTTCTTGGCCTATCGACAAGCTCCTCTTCATATCGTTTTTAAATTCGCCACAAAAGTCGGTGCCAGGCTCCATGATGCTTCTGAAAAAGGTCCCTGCATCCTTCGAGCAATTCTTCCAAGGGATCTTCCCCTCCCCTTTGGCACTATTATCTTCACGCTCTCCTACCTGCACCAATTTCCTCTTCTTCAAATAGTGAAAAGAGGTGCTATGGTGGCTATACCCACTGAGAGATATAACATACGGCTTCGTCCCGTCGGAGTTATTTACCTCCTCCCCTTCTCCATTTTTCTCTTTATGCATAATTTTGTTAAAACAGGAGTGCAGTTTTTTCAGCCTGTCTCCAAAATGGTTATCAGGCAAGTAGGGGTGTGAAATACAATCTAAATTTACGTAACAAAAGTTATCCCAATTTTCTTTGTCCTCACTTTCTAAATTTGTGTCCTCCACAAATTTGGTTGTTTCGCATGGGACACGAGTGGAATCTGCTTTAGATTCTAGTTTGCTATTTTTAGCATCACTTCTAGATTCCTTACCCCCACCAGGGGAAGAAGTACCGTCACTTACTCTGGCACAACCTGGAGCAGAACTTTCCCGTTCACTTATAATTACCTGGACCCATTTTAACCGCACAATATGCACACACAAATTATACAAAAAGTTTTTCTCCTTTTGATTTCCTATCAACTCGACAATCTGGTTAATCAATGCAACTACTGAGTCGTCGTGTCTGCTTTTTATTTTAATTCTTAAAATAATTTCGTCTATGATTGGTTCAACTTGTTGGTAGAACTTATGGGGGCATAGAACCCATATTTTTCTCTTCACCTTGGTGGAGGTTATTTCGTAAAAATACTGAGCTGACGGTGTTTCCTCCACCAGTGTTTTGAGAATTCCTATAGGTATGACTTCTATTTTGTCCAGAACAGTGGAGAAGAGTGGCTGCATTTCGCGCACTTGGAACATGGACATCATTTTCTTCGCCAGTTTTGTCAGCCTATGTTTGGGGCAGGGGGGTTACACGAGGGTGAGCGAGTGATGATGTATACACTGAAGAGTGTACACACTTGTCCCTACAGATTTATGAGAAGTAGATATTACAATTGGCATGGTGCGGTGGCCAATTTGGACGTGCCTTTTTTTCTCTCCCTCTATTGTGCCGTTTTTTTCTCTCCATTTATTGCGCCATTTTTTTTTCCCCCTTTGTTGGGCCATTTTTTTCTCTCCCCTCCTCGGTGCGTTACCCCTTCTGCGACGCCTCCGTCGAACTAAGACTGTTTACAAACTTGGGGGACAGATAATTGTCGAACACCGTTCTGTATGTGAGATGCTTGGGGATGCTCAAAAACTTGAGGAAATCCACTAAGCCGGAGAGGGTCCTATCCTGGAAGGACTGCCTCTTTTGCCACACCTTGCACGCGCTCAAAGCGGGGTAACTGTTCTCCTCCTCATTTTTCAGTTGGTAATTATCTATACGTGAAAAGGAAGGGTAATAAATTAGCGTGTACGCAGATTTCCCACGTGCAGTACGTGGCAGTCGCACTGCCTTTCTATTTTGGCCTCATCCGCGACACTGATATGGAAGCCTTTTCCAATGCCTTTGACATTTTTTGTCTATTAGTTTCTTCACCCATCCACGAGTCGTATTTTATTTCACTTTTTAATTTTTCGTTCTATTTATCGTGTCTCTTTTTTTCATGTCTAATCGTTTCGCCTTTACATTCTATCCATCGAATCAGCGCCTTCCGCCCAGCGGGGCCGCAATTCAGCCCATCGCTGAACTTTCCATTTTTTTTCCTCAAGTTGAGGATTCCTCCTTTGTCAAAAATGTTAATGTAATTCAGTTCCTCCCTTTTTTTCCCCTGGACGTATTTTCCGTTGAGTTGGAAGTTCCAACCAGTACTCATAACTCGAAGGACGAAGTAAACAAAAGGAGACAAGAAGATGCAAAACGGAAGCTCAATGTCGCAAAAAGGAAACACAATGTCGCAAAAAGGAAACACAATGTCGCAAAAGGAAACAGGAAGAAGCAAAAAACAAACAGGAAGAAGCAAAAAACAAACAGACGAGTAAGAAAAAAGATTAAGGGACAAATAAAATAATGGCAAAGGAAAAAATGAAGTACAAATTCCCAACTATATAAAAAAAAATAAAAGCTGCCCCTGCTACTTAATGAGAAGTTAATGCAAAAGCGTCCAAGGATTTGTTAACCTATTTGCACATTAGCGTTAACATCTTCATGCTTTGCGCGTTTACAAACTTTCAAATTAGAAAATACCGCCTTACCAACACTGGAACAATAAAAAAAAAAAAGAAACGTAAAGAGAGAAGAAAAAATAAAGAGAGAAAAAAATACAAAGAAAAAAAAAAATTACATAGGAAAAAAATTACAGAGGGAAAAAATACCGGAAAAAAAATAAACAAACAATTGTGAATACACACGACAAGTGTCTGGTATTTGCCTCATCGACGAACATACATACATATTAATGTGTATAAACGTCATGTGGTAAGTTACTATTTACCACCTCGGCACGATTTTGCTGCTCACAGATGGTGATATTTCTTTTTCCCCCCCGCCGGTTTTTATCTTTTTGTTTAATTATAATTCGGCCTATTAAATCGAAGCATCCTGATAATATTTTTTGACGACTTGTACAGGTTAACACATGCAAAATTGAAATAAAACATTTTCCGCATTTCACCCAAAAGGGAAAGGGGGGCGGTCATATCTCTAATGTACGAATGCAACATTATATATCTAAGTCACATGCGTGTTGTCATTTGGGGGCTAACACAACAAACGAAATGCTAATCTTTTTTTTACCGCCGCGATTTGGCGAATGTTACCCAGCAGAATGACACTTTAAGGAACATTTGTCACACACGGAAGTACTTCTTCACAAGTACGTTCCGGTGTGCTAATGCTATATGTGTTAAACGGGCCAACAAATTTTTGTCCACTAAAGTTTTCCGTTTCTTTTGTTATTGCGGCTCCTCTTTTATTTTCTCACATTTGATTAAGTGCAAAAATAGAAGTGAAGGAAAGGGTTAAGGAAAAGGTTAGGGAAAAATGTTAAAGAATACGTCAAGAAACTAAAGGAGATGGCAAAAACGATTCGAATATAGCATTGTGTCCTAATTAACATCTTGAATAAGTTTTTAAATATAAGAACAAAAATTGCTACACTGATTTGTTTGATGGAAACAATGCGTTGCCTGGTATGATTATATTATGTCGTGTTTATATGTAATCATTAAAACACAAAAACAATGACGATTTTGTATACAGTTCACTGAATGAGAAATGGTAAAAAACAACAAAGAATAATAATTCGGTTACTGTGAATATGTATGGAAAGATTTTTTGCTTTTTTTTTCCCCTTTTCTTCTTTTGGAAATAAGAGTTAAAATGCCTCCAAAAGAATTAGTACAATAAAAATTGAAGATTTACGCGAAAAGTTTCTTTACTGAATAATCATAAAGGTATTGAAATCTTTATTTATTTTGCTCAAGAAGTGTGTTATTTATTCACTTGTGTGTTTCTCCAATTTCTGTATATAATAATTAGAAGACTGTAATAATGGCTATGGAAAAACTAAACCATAAACTTCTTGAGCCATATAATATAATACCATTAAAATCATTTTTAACAATTTTAGAGAATATAATGAAAGCTGCAATTTAAAATTTTGCAGGTGATACATGGTACTTCTATTTTTCCTACTTGGTTTGAGCTCGTATTCATTATTTTTATAAGCAGCCACATAAGGAGTTAGCTTCTTTGCCTTTATTTTTGAAATAGCTGTGTTTAGATATTTAAATATTTTTGGCCTATTATGCTTTTTCTCTTTAGGCTTCTTTCTAGGCCGTTCGGGATATCTGAACCTTCTTGCTCTATGCGTTATTCGAGAATCGTTTAAGTAATCGAATGGACGATTTGTTCCTTCATAATGGTCATGTTTTAATTCGTCATATTGATTGTCCAGGTCATTATTATCGTTTATATTTTTGAGCAATTTTTCATTCTTATTATTCTTCAAGTGATTTACTCTTTTTTCAAAGTCATGATACTGTTTGATTGCACTGGACAATTCTTCAGGGTTGTACTCACTCATCAACACATCATATTCTTTTGTAAAAATTCTCTGCTGTTTTAACGCATTAAATCTTTCTCTGAATGACTCATGATCTTCATGCAGCAAATTTATAATTCTTTCTTTTAGCTCTTTAAAACGTCGTTGTGTTCCTGGTTCAGAATTACCATTTAATATTCTAGCTGATACTGTGTGTAACGTACTATATTGGGGGAACACTCCCGTGTCGAATATATTAACAGTGGTGACTAAGGGAGGCAAATAACAGAAGTCGAATCCATGTATTGGCAAAATGAACAAAATCTTTCCCTATAAATGAAAATGCAAAGGAAACCGATAAGCCGCATGCATCGTTAGATTTGATTTTCATATTTTATTACGTCATATAAACAATTCCAGGTCAATATGAAGCAGATAAAGGTAAGAATAATAATACTGAATAGGGGTGATTTACAGTTTGTCCTTTCTTTCATTGACAATTTAATGTCTTCAAATCATTATAGTAACTGATAAATTACTTATTTAACTTACTATATAATGATTTGTCCTTTGTGTATTACTAAGAATTACAGTGCGTTTCTGCATCCTGCTTTATAAGCCTGGCACTTTTTAATCCTTTCTGTGAAGTTTTTCTTATTGAAAGGGGGAAAATAAAACGAGCAGTTCCAATGCTTATATGTTTGATTAGAGTGCATAGAAAATGTACATTCTTAGGTAGAAGAATTCCTGCATAAACATTTATATACAATGTTCCAAAAAAAAGGAAAAATACTACAAACTGCCATTTCAATGCAAGGGAAACCACAAATTAAATTAAAATTAAGGTATTTTCTTTACAGTTATATTTTGCAAAACTTAAAAGTGCCTTATGACATTGTATGGGAAGCGAATATCATGGATCCTATATGAGAAATATATAATCCAAGAAATGAAAAAGGAAAAAGGGGAAGGTATAAAGAAGCATTATATGTATATAACTCATAAATCTGCGCGCTCGAATTACCTATGTACGAATTATTTTGCGTAATTTTAGCTCGTGGATGATGAAACAAGAAAGAAAGAAGGAGAAACAATGGTGGTAGGACTAATTGGAACAATGCAATGCTGTATTGTATAGAACATATATATTTACATATATACAGAACGCGCGGGCAGGACTCAAAAATATTGTTTATCCTTTTCTTTAAGTTAAGGCTCAACTAATGTTATGTCTCATATTTAGTTATGTTTCCTTTTCATTTGGCATGAAAAAAAATGTTCCTAGGAACAAGGAAGAAGGCGAAAGGAAAAAAATGACAGTTCTTCAATATTATCTGCGTAGAACACATATTTTGCATCGTTACCGCTCTAAACGTTTGTATCGGAATTAGTTGTTTAGCTAAACACATCGGAAGAAGTGATGTGTCAAGATTTAGGCCATGGGATTGCTTATTTTTTTCTTCTTTTTATCTTATGTATCATGAGATTGCATCATTATATGAACGAAGTCCTGATACTGAAATCTTTATGTGCTAAACGAAAAGCGCAAAATCCGCATACAAGTCTTGAAACTTAGGGGTGTAGTGAAGCTGCTGCAACCAGACCCATACCGCCACAGGAGATCATAAGACTTCGCATAGTTCAGGTGCAGAATGTGAGAGAAAGAAAATAGCAGACTGACAAAGAAGGAGAAGGAAATTCAAGTCAACCAAGAGCATGTGCATGTATATGTGTATACATATATATATATCTCTATCCAATCGAGCCTAAATATCGCGTTCTATCTCACAAGCTAGACGTTTCTCAAAGCGCGATGTGTGAATATCTATTTATTTTAATAGAGAGCCGCTCTTCCGAAATAGACATCGCAAAAATGCGTGGACGCATTCATAGGACATGTGTTTTTTCATGTTGCACATAAATAATGGGTATTAATAGTAATTGCTGTGTGGAAATCACGTTAATAGTAAATATTTTCCACGTTATACGCACCACTTAGGTAATGTCTTATAGGAATCAGCGGATTTTTAATTATTTATAACAATCCTAAACAGGCCACCACTACAATATATGTGGAAATACGCTGCCTTCCCTATAATTCCAAATTTATTCTTCAGATCCGGCAACGTACAGATATTCTTAAACGATAGAATATGCAATTAGGCATATCCCCGTGAACTGCAGGAATTTAAAAATAAGAAATAAATCGACTCTGCCGTGATATTTGTGCGCATAGTTGACACTTGTACTGATGACAACCTCTCCTACGCTTCATGGGTGTTATTTTGTCTTATACCTGACAGTAGATGTGAAGTATATTCTAAAATTTCGCCCCGATGATATCCTTTGTTATTATCTCCTCATCTTCAGTACCATACTATATATATTTATGACACTGTCCGAGGAAACTTCTTAACTGTCCTCCTAAGAGTTTGGAATATTCGCGGTTTATCCAATCATCAGCATTTTGATCAGCGCCAGGCGTGTGAATATGCCGTCATTATTATAGGATTTATGCCTTCATAAATTGACCCGTCCAGGGTGTAATTCATGTATTGAAGGTATTCTTCTTTATTAAAAATTTATAATCATAAAAAATATATCCTATCTTTAATAAGTCACGTATTTATGGATTAATCTGAGACAGCAATGTAAAGATCTTACTGAGGCTATTATTCTCTTACCTATTTTCTTCAAGTGTTAGAGAATGATTATTCTCCTGTTTCATCTTTACGCTACTTCTGTTTCTGTCATTTTAACTTGTGACAGTCTCCTAATGGGTATGTTGATCACGGCCTGTTTCTTCCTTTACAATTCATTGCAGGACAGGAGCTGATATTACAGGAAAAGTGCATACTATTATGGGTATAGTCACAATTTGTATTATTTCCACTTATTTTTATATTCACTTATCTATTTCGGGTAATATTACAAGGACTGAAGTCCAAGGGGCGCACATCTAAAATTAAATATCCTCCTTTTAAACAGTGAACACAACAAACCTGATATATTTGCTATAACCGAAGCCGTATTGAGGAATAGCGTCATTATAGATAATATAATTAGTTCTGTATAAGTGCTTATATTGTTATATCTCTTATATTGAGACAGAATCTATTTATAACGGCAATGATAGAGAAATTTGGACGCCAACAGAAGGAGATTATATGATACCATAATCAAAGCATTACTTTATCGTCATGAGATTAAATATGATACAAAACAAATGTAGCTCATTATTTAATAAAATTATGAAATTGTTAAATAAGGAAAGGAATATTATCAATGTCGTATCCTCTTGTCGCTTAATTCTCCAGTAATGAGTGTATAAACCAGCTAAAGGAAACTAAGGAAAGTCAGGTAGTTAGATTAATGATTTTACCAATGTCACACTAATCTATAATCAGAGGAGACCACTAACCAAGGGTGTTTCTACGACAAGTCTTATAGATTATTAGGGAATCTATAAGAAACTCCTTTAGTCCCTATGTATATTTATCCGCTATTAATCGACTCAAACATGTGAGCCTCCTTATATATAACCTTCTTGCGTCAACCTTATAGTGAATTAAACTTTAGCTTTCTCATGATGTATATATTGAAGGAAGCATAATAATGTTAACTGATGTGAGAAATCCATATGTTATTTATATAGATATCTACAGGAAATATTAATATTAAATATTCCCTAGATAGGATTGTGTGGAGACTGATAAAATTAAGTAAATAATACCGTAGTAATTATGAAGTCTCTGAAATAGATAAAACGTACTGCTAAAAAAATGTTCATATATTGAGAATTACTGGAGGGCCAAGAAAAGAATCTACCTCTACACCTGGGAAATTGTAGGTTCTTTATTGAATATGTTACGTTTTCAAAATATAATTAAACAGAAGCAATAGAGCACAAATTAAGGATAAAGGTTCTAATACTTAAATAGTTTTTAAAGCCAGTGTACAGAAGTCACTTCACCTTATATGTTAACTAGTCTGTATAATCCTTTTGCCTAATCTTATACTATATTAAAGGTTTGTGATAAATATATTTAATCAATAACTGCCAGATATCCATGAATACGAATTAAGAGCAAGAGAATGATTAATACAACAATAACAAACGAACTGAAGATATGTTATATTATTTGTGATCTTACCGACTGATTAATAATTCGAACAGGATCCGAAACTGAAGCCTGTCCAAGAGAATTAGGTAATGCAAACGTGGAAAACCCAAGTTATAATAACAAGGATCAGGTAGAATATGAATTAAACTATCTAGTCTTAAACATTAGACAACCAGCACAGCAACCCTAAAGGGAAGTGATATCCGAATGGAATATTCTCCACATCATAATACAACTAACGAATCTCAAACAACAATACCGAGGAAAATATATACTCATCACCTACGTGTCTGATTAGGAAAATATACAAATGGAAGATAGTCAACCTACCTCATCTCTATCATACTATTAAATATAACCAGGGCAGAACAGCTCGAACACTAAATGAACTGGTTGATGATTCTGATGTATCAGGGCGACTCGAGAATAAGTAATAAGAAACTGGGTCTTAAAATTAATTCGCGCTGAAGAACGTAAAAGATGTACATAATACTCAAACTCACCAAAGGAGAAAGGACTAATAAAAAGTAAATGATGTCAAAACAATTCCCCTATTCAAGCCAAGGACCTCACCAATTAACCAAATGATAAAGTGATATATTATATATCCTAAGTATTTAGTCTTATCATAACTTCCACTAGTAGCCAGGTTACGTAAATTCAACCCAAATCGTAAACCAGAGGATACCACCTAGGAATTTTTCCTTATAATCAGAATAGTGCGAGCTCTACAAATATCGAAAGGTTAAGCTACTCAAGAGCTCTCCAACCGTCCTACAACATCCGAAGGAAAGGAACAAATATGAAGATCCAAAACGTCTGTGATATCAAGTGGTCAACCATAGACTTATAAGTCCCAAATTATTAGACAAGTTTCAAGAGAAGGTGGAATGATATCTCTACACACCCAGCTAAAAGACGGATAATATATCCTGACCAACGACAAAATGAAGGCAGATTAAAAAAAGGTTAATAATTATAAAATATAGGATCAATATATTGTTCATGCTCAGAGAGAGACTAAAGGCAGTAGTATAATATAGTCCCACAGCTAGTAAAGGCATTCTGTCTCACGCTAATGGACGCAATAATCGCACAAACCAACCTAACCACAAGAGCAGGAACTTCTCACCCGATCAGAGGCCTGACCGCAGCCGCATCCAAACAGCCCACGGAGCACGCAGATGGGGGTTATCAACCAAGGAAAAACTAAGAAACAACTCAAAGGAATTCTCGCAAAAAAATCAGGATCCCCCGAACAACTCCAAACTCGCAACCCATATCCCTATCAGATATAACAGGCAAACTCTCCGCACTCAAAGGATATCATACAACTGACAGGGAGGATACCTCGGTAATTACGTCTAAGAATGGACCAAGGAGGATCCCCCACAGAAATAGAACATTAACAACCGAAACATCGGAAAACTCAAAGCAAAAAGCAGCCGCATAACTAATCCCCCCACCTACCAAAATCATGTGGGGGAAAGAAAATAGCTAACCTCAATGAGTCTCCGAAGGACAAGCCGAGTAATCTTCCAAAGGAGGAATTCTCATGTAAGTCTAGGCAAAGATTGAGTAGAATTGGTAAGAAAATTCAGGAGACAAACAAGAGGAAAGAAACAGACGACAAGTCAGGCCCAGACAACCCAGTCAGAAGTAACTACAGGAATCGAACCCCCTCTCACCAGGGAGGCTCGTGAAAGGAAAACAAACAAACCAACTCCCAAGCCCCAGGATCACCTCCAACTCCACATCTAGGGCGTCACTCCCCCGAGGGACTCGAGTTAGCGACTGCCAAGAGACAGCAGAACAAAAGAGGAAAGGATCCAACAGACAAACCTTGGATTACAGTACACATTCCCCATCGCGCGGAAAGGAAGGAAAGAAAAGGCATCAGGAAGAGAAGTAAACTCACCTTCCCTAACAGTCCTGATAGAATAGATAGAGGCTCAAGAAAATACCTAGGATCATGGAGCCTAAAGTAAAAATAAGGAAATGTAGAAAAGAGAAAAAAATGATGATCCTAAACACAACTGGAAGGTAGAACTCACTCAAAGAGTCTCAAGTCATCCAAAAGGCAAAACCCCCGAAAAGCATAAATGACTTCCAACAGCAGGAGGGGGTCCTATCGAGTCTCACATCAGATGACGCAAGAACCAAACCAACCCCGTTTATCCTCTATGACTCCAAGGGGAACTCAAGAACCAACCAAATATTCTGAGTAAACCCGACTCCAATACCTCCAACCTGCCACCACACGAGACATTCCAATACAGACTACTGGAGAGGGGTGAGTGCAGTATGATAACAAATATGGAAAAACAAAAGCCTACACATCAGGAAAGATTAGGAACACACAGAACTAGCCAAGATCAGGAAAAGTATAGGATCGGATAAACATTGGCGAGAGTAAAACACTCAAACGCAGGAATCTTCCCCTCATCAAGAAGACACTGCAAAAGAAGAACTACAGAGAGCAACAACAGTATTTCAGGTACCCCCCAACCGGAAGGCAAGGGGCCATCTAGATCCTCTAGGTAATAGATCTCCTCCGGAAGGATAGAGTCATGATAGGGTAGGAGGGACCATATCTCTAAGCGGTTAAAAGTCCTCGAGAAGGGACAGTCCAAACAGGAAGCCAGTCACAATAAGTCACTGACAGATAACAGATTCCTTCGGCAACGAACTAGAATCCTACGCTAGCGTTATTAGATCAAGCCCCCACATCGTTAGGTGAGGGGGACACGAGTTGAAAGATGGCAGGACGTATAGACTAGAGGGCATCCACGAATTTCTGATCAGGAATATATCTAACTCTAGCAGCGAAAAAGTCAAGAGTCGATGATCCTAGACGGATGAAGGACGGCTAAGATATCCCCGAGTCTTAAAGGAGATCTTTAAGTCGTATAGTTTTAGAAGTTAAACAAAAAGAAGCGAGGCCCCTCGAATCACCGAAGCAGGCAACCACTATCAACTAAAGACATTTCTCGAGATAACTAAAATCTGGCAGGTGTCTTCTGCAAAGTCCACCCTAGAAGAGCTCATCAAATGGATGATCTCGACGGGATAAAGGAAGAGAAGAACGGGCCCCGAAATAAAATCCTGAACCCCAAGGAGGAGGCTGTATAATCCAAATGCCCCAGACTCAGGTGACCACAACAGTTAATCCCACATTCTATCCATCATAGAAAAATCCAGGCTCCAAAGGATCAGAATGAAAGGACAAGTGTTTACGAAGTAGAGATTATGATCATCCGACTCGTGGAGCCAGATGAATAAGCGTGGATAAGGCCCCTCACCGTCAAACAAAGGCACCCAGGCAGAAGCCCCACGACAGAAGACCATCCTAGAGGCAGAACCAAAAGAGTCCCAAAAGAAATAAGCCTCCACTCTCGCCTAAGATAGGGAGAAAATGTCATTCCGACCCCAGAGATAACGGCCAAACTACTCCAGAGGGAGGAACCCCTGAGCACAGACCCAGGACGTCTTGGCCATCTAAGAAAGATTTCGTATCGAAAAAGTAACTATAGGAGGAATACACACCTGAATAGATAAGCAAATAAATGAAAAGGAGCGAACGGATCCGTACTGGTCCAAAAGAATAAAGAAGCCTAAGAAACAGGACAACCTTAATCTGAACTGATGGGGGCATTAAGGATGGATAAACTTCTAAGGTCGAAGTAGCCGATAGGAGACGAGGCTCTAAGATGAATGTACATAAAGGAAAGGAAGGTGACCCATAGCATCCTCAGGAGCCAAGAAGAGGAAACCAAACCCTTAGAGGAAGGAAGGGACTCCCGAGAGCATCCAAGCGACAGGAGAATGAAAAGAGGGGGTGACACCCCCCCTGGAGGATCTTTTCAGAATAGAAGATAAGATTCTCGATGAGAAGGTTCCAAACCGAGGTGAACCACCGGCGTTTAGGTACGAGGACAAGAAATACGGGCCTAACGCCGACCTCAAGGAAAACCCCCCCCCCCAAGAAGACAAAGACTGGGTTAAGGAAACACAGGTAGGACGACGCGGCATGGACAAGTAGGAGGAGCCAAACACAAGATGAGAAATAAGAAGGGACTCTCCAGGAGGAAGCCATCCAACGGACAACAAAACCCCCGGAGGCAAAAACCGCGAGAAAAGTGACCCCCCCACTGAATGGCGAAGGAAGAGGGATACAATTAGGAACTGACAGATTCCAACGAAGATGAAGAAGTCAGCCAGTTGGTAGAAGCGCAGGAACAAAAAGGAAGATAAGGACACCAACTCACAGGAGAGAAAATAGCTGTAACCTAAAAGGAATCCTTCCTACTCTAGGAAATCTGGCAGCATAATGAGACGTTAGGGATCGGAATTGACGAATGAGCAAATAGCGCTGGCAAACTACTGATGACTTAGGAGGCCTCAACACAAACAAATAACAGAGCAGATCCCGTAACTGCTAACGAAGGCAAAAAATCCCCAGAGGAGCCAGCCGCTTCAAAGAAGCATGGAGGCTTAACTGATCTGACAAGGACACGAGTCATTAGAGAAGGTAGGAGGATTAGTCAAGCCGCCGGAGGAGACGAGCCAACAAAACAGAAGGGAGGATTGAAGAACCCATAGAAAGAGAAGTGAGTAGAAGAGTATCTGACGATTGATGAAAGCGACCTGAAAGGGTGGAGATCGGGGCTGAGGAGTAGTGGAATCCCAGGAACAGCCAGGAGGTAAGACCGGGCGCCTGGGGAGGGGAGGGGACATATACCATGGACACTCTCTGGACGGGCACGATAGGTCCAGAAAGTACTGGTCAGGTCAGATTAGTCGTAAGACCCCCCCTAAAGCCGAAGGGGAGGCAGCAACCAAGTTAGTTTCTGAGAGTGCTGACCAGAAAAAGGAAAATACCGAAACGACGACTCGAGTGAGTACGACTCCCCCAGAATGCGACCGAGTAGAGGGTTCCATATAAGGGATAATAGAAACGAACTTAAGATAACAAAGTCCGAAAGCTACTAACGGACGTCTCTTTCCCTTAGAACGGTCAGAAAGGGAGGGAAGGAGGGGGATCTTCAGCCCCAGCCGCGCGTCGAGGATCAATATAAGACGTAGAGGATGATAGAAGGGGACCAAAAAAGGAAGGAAGGGTCATACTAAACCCCAAACACCAAGGGACCTGGGAAAGAGTGAACAAGATGACAACAAACAGGGACACTCCAAAAAGGCAATCCGTCACCCCTCAACCCCGATTAACAGAGGGAAAAAGACGGGTTCGGATGGGAAAGGAAGGGGAAGGAGTAGGATCTACTGGACCAAGAAATAAATGATAAATCAAAGTCGCCCGAAAATATCGTCAGGTTCCACGAAGAGATTAGGCAAAGGGGCAACCCTAAGACACCAAAAGAGGGAGGAGTGGGAGAGATTAGAATTAATATATTAGTCATCCAATCTTACCCCTGTTCACGAAGAGACCAACGAGGGAACTGACAGTGAAGTAGGAGGGGAATTCCCTTCGGAAATAAAAAGGAGAATAGATTAAAGGCCACAGAAACAAACTCGGATCAGTCACCTAGGTCGTGGGAAGAATCATAGAACAGTCTCGTTAAACTGCTACGGAACAGAGTTGGGGAATGTGGCACTGGGACGTAAGGAGATGAGTAGGTATTATTAACAGAAGGAGGAAATACCAACCCAGCCAGCAGCAACTAGAAGCTGAAATCTGTGGGAGGATAAAGAGGATGCAATACGAGGGGCGTTTAAGAGGGAGAGTCCCTGAAACAAAAGCCATTAAGATAAAAGTGAAGGTCGAGGAGTTAAAGGAGAATAACGGGAGATTGAGAAGGAAAAAACCGCAACCGGCTTAATAAATAAGTGACGGGAAGGGAGATGAAGGAGAAACAGGAAGCGTTTCCACTCTGCCAATGGGCGAACAAGACGTGGTTAGCGTCAACAACCACCACTCTGGACGAATATTGTAACCGTCGAACAAATGACGACCTGGGAATTGAGGGAGGTGGAGATGAAGAGTTAATGAGTTCGCTTGGAGGAGCGGATGATTATATAACAGGGGGAGCGTCGAAAGAACTTCAGAATCTCTATGAAGACAATAAGTCGGCGTCAGTAGACCAGGGATGCACAGGTCAATCCCCGAGGGCGAGTCTGCCAAGTTGGGATCAGATACTGGCACAAGTAGTGGACACCTTACATCAAGACCCGAAACGACTGAACCTGGGGAGGTTAGGAAGAGATTGGGGATTGGTGCAGGACGTAAACCTAAGAAGAAGTTGGGGAAATGTTCTGACAAGGAAAGTTTGTCAAGGATCCAGCGTGAACAGGAAATGGGCCGGAGCCCTGATGTGTCTGATTGGTACTCTCGCAGTAGGTACAAATCAAACCAGACAAAGTTGGGGACCCATTCCAGACGTCTGTGGCAACTTTCTCGATGAGGTAATAGGTTCCAGTCACCCGCACAAAGAAGAAGCTCACAGGAACAGCCAGGAGTCAACCCTAACAGCGGACGACAGGACGAGGGATCGAAGAATTAAAAAGGAAGTGACGGCTTTTTTGAGTTTGATATTGACTATATATGACTTAATTAAAAGATGTTGCGTCGGGTGCGGCCCCTATTCAATAGAGAGGTGGGCTGCAGGAATAGGTCCAAGAACCATTAAGCAGGAGACAGTATATTGTAAGCTGGACAACACGGAATTGAAATGCTATAGATCCCCGCAGGAAACAGAACAGGGGCCGGGGTATTTACGCTATAGTGGAGCGTCGACACCAAGTCTGAGAGATATCTCCCTAAGTCCATCAGATCAGACGGGGACATACACAAGGCAACACCGCACCCCGGTCCTGGACGGCGGCGAGCAGGGTCACCTGACGCAAGAGTCTGCGAGTGGAGACCCATCCAAAGAGCGAAGGAGCATAGAAACTGATGTCTCTTCAGACGAAAATCGCGGACAAGACGCCCCCGACGGAACCCAACAGGATCAGGAACACAGCACCAGGAGGTTAGAATCCCTAAGCTCGGACCCAAACGACAACGGACCACCAGAGAAGGAGGACGAGTCAAGTGCCCCAACAGGGGGTAAGCCTACCAAAGACAAAGACGGAACTGGCGAGGAGCAAGTACCCACAGCTGAAGATCTCAGGGGGGCGACCCTCCCAACTCAAGGTGAATCGGAACAGGAGCCACCATCCCAGACCACCAGCTCAGGACAATTGACTATGGGTTCAGTAGGTGGGATAATTACGAGCATGATTTTGAGTGCACTAGGTATATATGGGTTTTGGAGGATAAGGTTTCGGAATAGTAGAGATATCAAAGCAGAGGAAAGTCGAAGGTACGTCAAGATAGGATATGGATGAGAACTTCTTGTGGGGGATGCGAAAAGAAGAGAGAGGGGGCCTTAGGTCAAAAATATCACAAGGCCTCGGCAGATTCAAGCCAAAAAGGCCCCTGAACGAACAGACCTGGTAGCCTATTCCCCCGGACCCAATCAAGGCCAAAGTTGCTGGGGTTCGGTTAAGGATCCCTAGATGAAGAGGACTCAGGCAAAGCAAACTAGACGGGAGAGTAGACCCTTGGGGGATAGTGATAGGGAAGAACCCCGCCAGTCACGGCAGATGGGGTTATATGGACGTTAGGATTGTTGAGTGCAGGCTTAGGGTTCAGGATTAGGGTTCCGGAGCGAGTTTAGGGTTCAGGGTTTAGGTTTTAAGGTTTAGGGTTCAGAGTTTAGCGTTCAGGGTTCAGGATTCAGGGTTTAGGGTTTAGGGTTCAGGGTTCAGGCTTCATGTGTTAGATTTACGGTTTATGGGTCAGGGTCAGGGTTATGGTTCAGGCTTTAGGGTTCAGGGTCCAGGTTCGAGGGTTTAGGGTTTAGTTTCCTTTCGTTATACTTGGATTTTCAATCTTGGGCGCTGGTGATTTGGGGTTTACATTCAGGTTACAACTTTTAGGTCTCAAGTTCTTCCCCCTGTTTGGGGGGGTCCTACTCCTTAAGATTTCATTTTCAAGAGGTTCTTCTAGTGGTTGTTTCTCAGTTTGGAGTTTTTAGGTCTATCTTTCAGGATCCTGGGGAGGATATTTTCTGGGTTCACGCTGCTTCTCTGTTGGTAAAGTCTATTTGGTTGAGCTCTTATTGGCTATTTGATTATGTTTTCTAGGGTTATCCTTCTTGATTTCTTTTTAGCTATCAGTCAACGCCACGGTCATTGCAAGAATTGATCTGTCTTATCTGATTTTTTTATCTAATCTTCATGTAAGGATTAACTAACAGTAGACGAACCCAATGACGGGGTCGATGTACGGATTGATGCATATTCGGCGGACTGAAAAATAATCTAGTGATCTTTTAAAGAAATCTCTTATAGAGATTTTTAATAAGTCACTTAATATTTCAGTGGCTTCAAAACAGAAAGGGAAAATAGAAACAACACAGGCGCCTATTAGAATTCTTGGTGTAAGATTCTTTAAATAATCAGTGATGACCTCCTGTGTTAACACAGTACAAGGATATATACCCTTCTCCTTATTAGTTTGTTACCTTAGGTACAAAATGTTATTAATATCTCCGACTATCCTCTTCTGGATATTCTCTTGAATATTTTCGCTCGCGTTATTCAGCCACAGTATCTTGGGAATCCTGTTGGGCTAGTACACCAGTCTCATCCTTAATGAAGTATTAGTCACAAATATAATAATATCTTTACACCATGGAGCATTTTACTTGTCTTGGTCTTCGTCTGCTTTCCGCCTCTCTTGTTTCTCCTCTAAAATGAAACTTATCCCTTATCATTAGCTCTTCCTAACTAATAAATTATAGATAAGTTGAAGAGGAATCTGCAATACGATTATTCTATAAATAAATGAATCTCACATCTTCCTCCCATGTAATTTTGTAACAGAATATTTCGGGCGCGGATAAATGAATATTACAATCTGTTTTCTGCCATTGTCTCAGCCCCCCTGGCGCCCTAGATATTATATATATCTATATATATACTGAACCCTGCCACTTCTCCTTTCTTATTCCCCTTCGCAAGCAATTTACGAGACTTAGGAGGTACTTTCGAAACCCTTTCATCATTCTCACGGCTGTTTATCTTTCCTGAATTTACTTTTTCAATTGCTAATCTATTCTTCTATACTGATATGTAGACTTCATCGAATTTATAGTTTAATCTTCCTACATAATATAAACACAGGACCCGTGACTTCATAGAACTCTTATTCATATCATAATATTAAGTGCTTGCTACCAATAGAATCTAGGGGAAGAAGGGAAAGGGACCGTCCAAATAGAAATCCACGATGATCTGATATGTTTGATGTTGTCCGTCTCTCAGAGGAGAGCAAAGACAGATATACGGCCTACCTAGGCGCCGACAATAGATAAATAGGGATTCACTATAGTATCTAATGTATCATTTAGGGACACATAGAAGAAACAAGTGTTCAGTCAAGAACTTCCCTTGATTCAAGGAAATGGCAGGGGTTGACAAAGTTCAGGGGAATATAGGGTGAGGAGTACAGCTGAATACACGAGGTTCATAGTGGCACAGTGGCATTGATTTATAGAACACTTGGCCACTAGAGGGTAGCAAACATAGATCCGCCAAAGTTGTGCCTTCTGCTCTTTTATATCCTCCGCCGCGCCCTAGTGACAAACGGCATGTTCACTTTATCTCAGAGACTTTTTCTTGCTTTCTGTCTCAACTTAAGTCCAACACCCGTTTTATAGAGTAATCACCTTGGGATTCTTGCAGTGGTATCTGGTAATACTCTTCTCATAATTGATCACAGAATCGTTGGGCCCCAACCATTTCCCAGCCTACAAAGAGTGTGGACTCTCTCAATTCTCCCTGAATTCAATTAATAGGACATGGGACGGCGATATGTTTTTTATCTTATATGAAATCATCCTTGTGTATATAGGTCAGCTCCTTCCCAAAGGAAGAGAAAGAGGCCAACGAACAGAAAAAACGAAGGATAACACGGGGGCATTTCAGGTATCGTTCACACGATTGCGTGTTGTCTCCTGTAATGCCCTTGACAATGACTGGAGGGAGACGCATACGAATGAAATTAGAAAGATCCGGAAGAAATTATAATGATGTAACAGATATTTATGGAGCCATATGAGAAACATTCCCTATTACATATCGTTCTATTAATGCATCCAATGTGAGAATGTTTATAATATGTGTCTACCCTGTCTTCATTCTCCACGTTTCCTTTAACAAAGAGTACAAAAAATACAAAACAGCAAAAAGGGAAGGTAACCGTGCTGAGTGGCGAGAAATGAATTAAAACATTGTTCTTGATGTCAGTAAAACAGAGATTAAAAAGGAAGTCACATGTCCCTCCTAATATCAACCTCGAAAGAAAAGATAAGATATATGGAGATTGAACAGCACAGAGCCAGAACGGAAGTGAAAACAAAAACAGCCAGTGTGAGACACATGAGAGAGGGCATATAATAATTCCACTGATAACCCATCATAGAAATCCCTCCTGAATTCTCCTGATCCGCACGTTCAAAGACACCAGAATTGTCCTTTTTAGGAGCTAATAAGATGCCATCAGTCACTTCCCTTTTGGTAGACATAAAACATACTCCTGATCAGCTTCAGGAAAGTCGACGCAACAGAAAAGAAGGAGAAATTTGTCGTCATGACAAGAATAAATTATATAGCCATTTCAGCTTCGTATACCAGACTCTGATTCCAGAAGACGTATTCGGGTTAAGTGATGAGGCATACATATAGCTATATAGGTTTTCTACATTCCGAAGATATCCAGGACACCCACAAGATGAGGGCTCCTTCCTTATAATTCTACATACCACAGCAACGGCTTCATGACGACGATATTAATGTAAAACTAAAAGAAGGGACTTACTCACATCAAGATATCATGTTACGATACGGGACACAGTTGAAATGTGATGTAGATAGGATGGTAAGAAGAAAAAGGGCACTAATTGTTCAAATTAAAAAGGGGTTAGGGGAGTTACGATTCTCCTTCAGCGATGGCCGATCACGGCTATCACTTCAACATAGCATCTAATAATATTCAGTTACTGTGTTGGAACAGGCTGCTCAGATGCTATCTCACATGTATTTCTCCACGCCTCATATACAATCTTTAAAACGAGGCTTAGTGATACCGTTGAATGTTTGCCCATATTCGGATACTTCCACAAGCACATAGAGATATCCTATAACGCCTAAGACAAGGAGTCCATAAGATACGGAAGGAACAGGTGTGAATGAGATTTCTAGTAATAAAGCTAATACTTCCAGTGTGAATGCAACAAGAATCCATAAGGGGAGTATCAGACGATATACTTCAATCCCCACTAACCAGTACTCACTCCTACTAATATGCGGATGCTTTTTACCCCTCGGTACAGAATTGTATGCCTTATATGATAAGGACGATGCAGGACGATGTAGAATTCTTCGACATGTGTGTACTAGTTTTGCCGCTGTGATCCTACGTATTGGATCGCACACCGAATTGATGACTTCTTGGTATTTCTTGAGGATTATTGTACGGATTCCCCCGAATGCTTTCTGATGATTCCGGATTTTCAGTATTTCGATACTTACTAAGATTCGTCTTTTTAGTCCTTGAAGTACCGTATGGATTTTCGGCATTTCCCCTTTGAGATTCAGGAGATATTTTCCGTGACGATTTACTTCGGTGCTGAATGTTCTATTTCTCATTGATAAAGTCACTTGGACAGCCAAACTTAATTCTCTATGATTTCCTATGATAATGCTGATTCCGGTAGTTAGAACCCTCTGTTTTATGTATCTAAGCTTTTGAAAAAACCGTTGTAGAATGTCCATATTATGTGTAATCATAACGATCCGTATGTTTCGTATGTCGTGTACAAAAGAATTACGCGGCTTCAAATCCACTGATAATCCTCCTTTTGAGCTTTCACACATTATTGCTTCATTATTTATAAGTTCTTGTATAATATGCGCCTGCCATCGCCTATCTAAAATATCCCCAGTAGGTGTGAGACTTCGTTTCTGAAAATCCTTAAACAAAGACTCTTTACAGGAACTGTCAATATTGCCTTTATTTTTCAGGATATATGTATAATCCCTTCCGAGAGAAGATCCTGAAACATATACTAATTTCAAGTGTTTCTGAACATGTGTCAATAATAGCCTAGTATTCCTGGGGCAAACCATGCCAGTAGTGTTATTGGTGGTGGTTATATGTTCATGGCCTGATGCCTCCATGGACTAATTATGAGCAGGATTATGGTACATCGTGGAAGACCATGTCTTCATGTCTTATAAGTATGATAAAATTTTTCCTTCCATAATGAGGAGGAAATAACTTTTCTCTATTGATAAGGGAAATCTGATAGTTACGATGCCGTTATGGTACGCAAACCATAATAATACCGAGGTTATCCTAAAAATTCGTTCCAAAATTCCGAATTCCATTATTCGATGCTTGCTTTAATTTCTTTCTGGTTGATGTCATGTTTCTCACCACATTATTCTATATGGTATATGCCCATATGCTTATATATACTTCTCCATCTATATCAACATGTTTCGATTTATTCATATATGAATATTTATGAAGATAAATGCTTGTCTGTGCATAAGTATAGGGATTTATACATTCATATGGATTCATAATTATCGACATAGGACTGCACAGGAGCAGAAAGGGAATAACTCTCATTTCTCTATTGCTTGTGGCATTTTGAAATACTGAGTTCATTTTTGCGAATAGATTTGTCCTCTGAGTTTTATCTCTATCTTCTGCTTCATCTATATATAGACTGGGGGATATAGGAGTTCATAACACTTAGGTATGTGACGCGTACCCTATCAAGAGAGGACTGAGGGCTTCTCAGAAAGAAGGGGTATCCTCAGTATCAGATTCTGTTATACTCTTTTGGTTAATGATAATAACAGGGCATAATTTAAGAGTCACTTCTATGTCATATTAATATTATGATATAGAAGACGGTGGAGAATATATTTTTAATAGACGAAGGGATGAGAGAATAATTAAGATTCATGACATGTTGGGATTGCTATTCGGCGACTGTCCGTACGAGTTATCCACAATGGCTTTTATCAATACCATTGAGGATGAGCAATATTCTCAAGAATGTTAAAGAACAATTCACAACTCGTTACAGGAGCTTGAAGTGATATTGGCGCAGTATTATGATAGAAATCCTAAAAAAAGGAAGAATGCGGATAAATATCATAGGCGTCCCTTGCAACTTATGATTACGCACTCTCTGATTTATAATTGACGATGTATCAGGAAATGATTTCAAGGGGCGATTATTCTTTTAGTACTCGGAATCAGTAATCTTCTTATATTCGACGTATCGCTGAAATGAGAATACATATCGTAAACACTTATGTTGATATATACCATTGTATATATGAAAGGTCTGGATTTCAGTTTAATGGCCCCATAATATGAAGTACCCGATTGTACAACCGCTAAGAAATGTCGGCAGCGCCATTATTTCGATAGTATTATAGTGCCAGGAGTACTAGGATGTGAATCGTACTTCGGTGTGTGAAATATTGATATTCCACGGGTGTCATTATTTGAGGAGCAATATACCGTCTAGCATACGGATATTGCAGCAGAACTATTGGCTGCACAATTGGGATGTGTATCGATTTACAATGATGATGATTACAGAAGTTGCCGTAATACCGTTATATAAATGTACTAATGGTTGAGCTGTTGTAATATGTGTTGTGTATTATTGTTTGAATAGCATGCTTACATAGAAAGTATGCATAATCAGAAACCATATCTTGCGAGTATACTCATATGTGCGTAGTACTATGATTTAGGAAGCAGGGTAATGCGCGAAATATAAATGGCCCTAGAATACGAAGATCTGAGGGGTCTGAACTTCAGGGCCCTGGATTTCGGTTTGTATTATATGAAGAACACTACTGTCTCGAACTCATAGCAGTTCCTGACGTGTTATTATATTAAGAGTGGGGCAATGAATGGAGCTGCATGACTTTAGCAGCCCCGCTTTACCAGGTGTACGGATGTCCCTAAATTACGCATGTGTGACAATAACTTCTTCTCTTTGAGTGTTGATATTCTCACAGTAGTATCCTGTAAATATTCCGTTTGCTTGCGAACTATTGGTATGCGAAGTGTGGCATTGTTGAGATGAGTACTACTGTGCCGAAAGTATTATGATTTAGATAATAGTAAGATGCAAAGGGTACCATTATTTCTATCGTGTATGTATGTCTCATGAATACGATTATATAAAAGACTCCATTGGATGAAGTTCAAAGATATACGTTCTGTTTTATTATATAGGGAACACAACTTTGTGAGGTGGTGGAACATCCCGCAAGTGTCCATGGTTGTGAAGTATACAGCTATATCCGCAATAGTATTATATGAGCGTTCAGGAATTATACATGTAATGTACGCACAATTGAATCGTCTGAACCGTCCAAACGGCCTAGAGCACCTTTATTTAGACAGCACGAATATACCAGTGTTCATTCCATGTGAAGAGCATGAGTATATGGAGAGTGCCATTCTGTTGAGTCCACTGACATGCTGAATGCAGTATTATGTGAAATGTAATGATGTTCTAGGGGAGTGTTATTTGAAGGGTTCCATTGCGCCTGCAGTGCCGGCTTCTGAAGGACAAATCTGTGTAAGGGGTAGGGATATCCTCCAGGGTCACCTTATATAAAGGGTATCCACGTGTTTGTAATACTTATATGTCGAGAGTAGTAACACCCTTATACTATTGATATTTGAACACAGGATATACACTTGGGGTACCATTACTTGTATAATAATGGTGTGGATTTTCCTTGGTAGCGATGCGCGGGGTTATACGTGTACTATTATTATTTCAGAAGTACAATCGTCGATGTACTAGTTTATGTGAAGGATTCAAGGTTTATGCCTTCACTATATGAATAGGAGTGTTGTGTGAACTGCATGGATATTCCAGTATAACTATTGTTTGGAAACTGTGGAGGTCACTGGATCATCGATGATGAGGAGTCTTGGATCCACATACTACTATTCTATAAAGGTACGAGTAGTGGAGCTATAGGGATCACCTGGAGTGGTATTATAAAGACGAAAGCATGATTTGTCAAGTGTTTTGCCTTTATGAGTAAGATTACCCTTGGAGTACCATTCTTTGCGAGGGTACTGGTGTAAAAGGAGTATCGTTGCGTTTACACTCCTGTCGTGTGGATAATACTCTTATCTAAAGAGGATATTTTCTGAACGAGTATTCACCGCTTGCAGTACTGTTATGGAGACACTATAGATGTATGTATAGTACTCATATCTAAAGATGCCTGATATGGCTTGTACGACGACATTTGATGAGTGTCAAAGTAAATCCCGTATTATTAAGTAAAGTAAGGGGGAGTGTAGAATTCATGACTTAGCTTTGTGCCGTTTGAGGAGGGCCAACCGTTACACAACCTGTGGAAGTTGCCGTAGTACCTCCGTATAGAGGGTACCTTTGTGTAGGACACATGGATGTATGAATTGCACGATTACTTGAAGAACACTGATTTCATGTACAGAATAGTTTGTTCTGATGAGTACAGCTGTCCTTGGAATAGCATTATTTGAAGGGTCGTCATGTTGGTATAGTGGCTGGATGATATGACTTGGGCGATTCTGAAGATCCGACAGGTGGCCTGCAATCATTTTGTCTAAACAGTAGAGCTATGCCAGGGCCACTATAATATTAACCGTATTATAGTGTCAAAAATACTGATTTTCGAGGTGTGTCATTATTCGTAGGTAATATTCTATGAAGTGCATGGATATTCTACAAGGGCAGATGACAAAGAAATATTGATGTGTCCCCATTTCCCATGATGACGAATGAGGAAATTCTCGTAGTACTGTTATATCAATGTATTAATGGTTGATCTATACTGATATCTGCAAAGTACTGTCCATTTAGGGGCATAATTGTATAAAACGTACGGATGATCTGCGGCGCAGTCTTTTGAGTGTACTCATATCTCCCTAGTGTGATGTCTTGGAGTGCACAATTGTGGTGGGTTCCTCGATACCCCCCGTGCACAATTATTAAAAGAGGTGGAACAACATGGCCTATTGTTTAGGCTTCTATTATAGGGAAAACAGCATATTCCGGAATTAATAGCACTCCCTGGAGTTTTATTATATTAACAGCCGTATAATGTGTGGAACTGCATGATTAGGGGAGTACCGCTCGAGCAAGTGTACACATGTGCGTGAAGGAGTATTGTCTAAGAATTACTTATTCGGTTTCAGCCGTGATATTATCAGAGTAGTATTATGTGGATAGTGCAGATTTGCGCGAAGTATTGATATGTTAGGAATGGCATTGTAAAGTGAATACTACTCTACCGGTAGTACTATGATCTGAAGTGTATGAACATGCATGCCGTATCATTATCTTTATCCGTTATCCAGGCCTACAAGGATATTGTATGAATAAGACACCTGTATCAAGTAGGGAAATATACATAGTGTACCATTAATATATAAGGCATAGCATCATATGAACTGTATATATGTGTCTAAAATGTAAATACGAATAAAGAATACAGATGTATCAGGAATATTATTGTATAGGTTTACCGCTTATGCTGTTATTGTAAGGAAGGGAAAATATTCTACAACTAACCCAAAGGTTGTAGGACATTGATTTGAAAGAAATTATTGTCCCTGCACTCATGTGATATCTAAAGAGAAGGAAAAATGAGAAGTGGCATCCTGTGGAGTGCAATGATATTCAAAATACAGTATTATATGACGGATACGGATATTCTCAAGAACTGTCCTTTGAAAGATAAGGATTCTCCTACAATATGCCCATCGAAAATGCAAAAGTGTGTGAATTGCGGGCTATGTGTTCCCAATTTCGGTTCCTATTCTTTGGGCGACGACAGTCATTGATTAGTATAGATCTCTATGAAATAGTATTATGTGAAGAATTGAGGGCTACATTCTAAAGAAAAGAGCAAGCCATTAATTACACGCAGGTGCAAGCGCTATAGCTGTGTCGAAGGTATTATTGGCGGAGTAATACAATAGAGGCAGAAATACTTGCATAGGGAAAATGAAAAGATTCTAGCGGAAATGTTGTTTGTAATGTACCGTGCCGCGGGGGTGCTTTTATGTGAAGGCCTCATAACATAGCGTTTCAGATACGACTAATTGGAGAACGTGACTAATTGAGGAA